CTTGTTGTTTGTACTTATTTGATAGCAAATTACGCCTTCTTCGAAATTTACACTCAAAGAAAGGGAAGCTTTCGGTTTTAAAAAAGTTGCTAATTTTGAGCTTTTTTTACAGTTGTAAGGCGTTTATTCATAATACATCGTATTCGTCAATTTATTAATGCTGCCTGTACTGCATAAAATATGTTCTACATCTATTTCAGTATTTTATGACAACTATGTGCCTTCTTCCTCAATATGTAGGCGAAAACGTATTTTTCCTTAAACAGAATGTACACTGCGCGCAGTTTGTAAAACTTGAATTCGAGTGTAGCCGTCACTAGGTTAGAAAATTATTCGGCAATTGAGCAACTTTTTTTAAAACCGAAATCGATCCTCTTTTGCGTATAAAATTTAAAGGAGGTGTAATTTGCTATCAAACGAGTGCAGGAAATGATTTTTTCGTGCATGTTTTCCATAAAATAAATTTGCTAGTGGTCGGAACGAAGCTCATTAAAAGCCCGCATCCTATCATGACTGAAATGATTTCAAAATAGACTGCACGATAATCGGCATCACAACTTGAGTCAACGCCGTTTAGCGAAAGGGTATTAATCTTTCGCATAGGTCGAAATGTTGCCTGATCTTTGGCGTCTACTGTATTTCTACACAAAATAATATTACTTTGTATAGTGCCTCTAAGTATTAGATTCGCCTGCGTTCATTAATAACCATCTAAAAGTTTTCGCAGACGAGTTAATACCGGTTTGCGAGAGATTATCAGCCTTTCTTAAGTGTCTGTATTTTGCCGGCGTTAAGTCATCTACTGTTTGCTTTAGCTAACCATTATAACCTGCTTGTAGGACCGTTTGGAGACTGTTCAAGTCTCGTTAGCGGAGACGAGGCGTGAGAATGACCGGTTGCTAGGGCAGATTCACACGATGGAGGCCGAACTTTCAGAAATCGAGTTGCGACGAGCGGTCCTGGATGGCGACGCAAAGCAGGCCGCCAGTCTTCTCACCAAACACCAGGAGGCCATACAGGAAATGAATAAACTTCTGACTGCTGTAAGCACACCTTCTATGCACTTTCTA